AATGCTGCAGAAACTCTATTGTCCTGGAGTGCAGAAAAAAAGGGTGTATAGCCCAACCATGTAAAGGATAAGCTGGGTGATCTGGGCTAAACCACTTAAACTTCTCTGGTCTTAACTTCATTGTGCATAAAATGAAAATTCTGAGGCCGAGCGGTGGTGGTGCACGCCTTTAATCCCAGCACTCGGGAGGCAGAGGCAGGCAGATCTCTGTGAGTTTGAGGCCAGACTGGGCTACAAGAGCTAGTTCCAGGACAGGAACCAAAAAGCTATGGAGAAACCCTGTCTCGAAAATAAAAAAAAAAAAAAAAAAAAAAAAAAAAGAAAAGGAAAATCTGAAAAACAGTTATGAGGATCAAATCAATTAATGCATGAAAGATTGTTTCAGTTCAAAAGTCAGAGACTATATGTACCAGGATGGCAAAAAACTATATGTGTTGTATCTCTGGCATCTAACATTGCCTGACATATGGTAAGCAACCCATAAACATTAAATGAATTCATGATTTAAAAAATGAAGATGATTATAAGGGAAATATTTATGAAGGAATAAAGTCAAGTATATAAGTAGACCAGATGCGGGCACAAACGTCTCCACTTCTGACTAAAAATGATTGGCATCTCTCCATTCTCAAAAAGAGGCAGAGATAATATAAGCAAAGAAAGATTGGTTATTGGCCAGTCCCTAACTCTGTCCCTGTTAGTTCTAGTCCAATCATTCCCATCTCTCCTACTACTGAATTTTTTTTTTATGAAATATTTTATTTTTATTTAGAATTTTTTTTCAGATGGAATATCATATAGCCCAGGCTGGCCTTGAACTTACTGTGTAGCCGAGGATGGCCTTGAACTTCTGATTCTCCTGCCTCCCCCTCCCAAGTGCTGGGATGACAGGTATCATCATACATGGTCTTACGTGGTGCTGGGGATCCAGTCCAGGGCTTTGGGTATGGCTGGCAGGCATGGTACCAACTGAGCGACATCCCCAGTCGGAGTTCAGGAGTTTTGTTTTTTTTTTTATTTTTTATTTTATTTTTCATTTATTTTATTTTATTTTTTTTAATTTATTTATTTATTAAGGATTTCTGCCTCGTCCCCACAACCGCTTCCCATTTCCCTCCCCCTCCCCCAATCAAGTCCCCCCCCCCCCATCTGCTCGAAGAGCAATCAGGGTTCCCTGACCTGTGGGAAGCCCAAGGACTGCCCACCTCTATCCAGGTCTCGTAAGGTGAGCATTCAAACTGCCTAGGCTTCCACAAAGCAGTGTTTCGGTTTCTCAGGAAATTCGGGATCAACCTACCCCTGGATCCAGCAATACCACTCTTGGGAATATACCCAAGAGAGGCCCTATCATACAACAAAAGTATATGCTCAACTATGTTCATGGCAGCATTGTTTGTAATAGCCAGAACCTGGAAACAACCTAGATGCCCTTCAACGGAAGAATGGATGAAGAAAGTATGGAATATATACATATTAGAGTATTACTCAGCAGTAAAAAACAAGGACTTCTTGAATTTTGCATACAAATGGATGGAAATAGAAAACACTATCCTGAGTGAGGTAAGCCAGACCCAAAAAGAGGAACATGGGATGTACTCACTCATATTTGGTTTCTAGCCATAAATAAAGGACATTGAGCCTATAATTCATGTTCCTACTACTGAATTTTTAAAAGCATGTCATTGCACATGGACCCCATCAATTTCAGAATCATCAAGCCATCATATCGCATGCTTTTTTTTTTTTTTTTTTTTTGGTTTTTCGAGACAGGGTTTCTCTGTGGTTTTGGAGCCTGTCCTGGAACTAGCTCTTGTAGACCAGGCTGGTCTCGAACTCACAGAGATCTGCCTGCCTCTGCCTCCCGAGTGCTGGGATTAAAGGCGTGTGCCACCACCGCCCGGCTCACGTGCTTTGATTAAGACTTGTATATATAGCCAGGTGGTGGTGGCACAGGCCTTTAATCCTAGTACTTGGGAGGCAGAGGCAGATGGATCTCTGAATTTGAGGCCAGACTGGTCTACAGAGCAAGTTCTGGGACAGCCAGGGCTACACAGAGAAACCCTGTCTCCAAAAATAAACAAATAAAAACAACAACAAAAACATTAAAAACAAAAAGATTTATATATGTCTTCTCTTTGGTCATTAAAAACCAGCACTGTCTTTCATTTGTATTATATGTGACTAGACCAGAGTTCTTTCTGCTCTTATCCCTCTCCAGAGTCTAGAGTAACCAGGGAGAAAGTTGGCAGACTAAATGACAGCTTAAGAAGGTCAGTGAAAATTTCTTTTACTTCAAGTTCTAAATTATAACAGCCAAATGCCTTGAGGATAGGGGATCTGTTTACAGTTGTGTTGATCTGAATTGTCCTCTGCCAGTCTTATATCTGTTTTTCATCATACACACAGGAATTTCATTAAAATGTTCTTCTCTGTCATACAGACCAGGATTTTGTAGGCCTTTGGAGGAAGAGATTCATGCCTACATATAAACTAAGAAGCCACACTGCCTCAATGGAACGCATGTCCTTAGTACCTGGCAGACCTATAGAACACTTCAGAGCACACACGCTTTGAAGCACCCAAACAAAATTCAAAATGCTTAGTCTAGACAATCACCTTCAATTCACTTAGAAAGTCTCAGCTAATTGGCAGCCTCTACCCCCTCCAGTACAGATCAAGCACACTGGTCAGATAAAAATCCACCTTTTTGGAGGAACAAAGACAGTTCTACTTGGGCTGGAGAGCTGGCTCAGTGGTTACAAGCACTTACTGCCCTTGCAGAGGACCTTGGGTCACCTCCCAGCACCCACATGGTGGCTCACAACCATCTGCAACTCCAGTTCCAGGGGAATCTGATGCAACTCTTTTGACTTTGGTGGGCAGCAGGAACATGCATGGTCCCTATATATATATACATACAGGCAAAACATGTAAACACATAAAATAACTTTAAAAATTAGAAAAAGAAGGAAACATTAGTTAAAAAAAGAATTCTACTTGCAAAAAAAAACATTGTGATGATAAATAAGGCTTTGATCTTTGAAGGTTACAGAAGACTAATGAGCTAATGTGTAAAATGTGTTTGAATTGCGTGTGTGCAAAAGGCTCTATGGAGACAGGAGATATGAGGATGCAAGAAACCTCTGTGTTTAGAGATCCCCTGTCTTCTGAAGAACAGAGTAAGTTTTACATAAACTACTTGCAAATGTGTATGTTAAAATTCATTCTGTCAAACCAGCCAAGATAGGTTGAAGAATGTTTGTTGTTATTTCCATCATAACAAATAAAAATTTAAGCTTCTGACAAAAGATTTCCCAAGAAACTTCCAACACAAAACCATGACTATTAGGTAATGCCCTCATATTAGGACAAACTTCAATGTCAAGTTCAGCTCTTGGTCAATCTTGCAAGAAAGCTCTAGTCCTTGCCCCTTCCAATACTCCAAAGGCATCCCTGTGGGGTTCCTTTGCTATCCTAATTGACAAATAATTAAAAATTTAAAATCACAAAGCACATTCTCTTTGGGGGTACCTTGTCAGAGCCCAGTGCTAGCCCGGACCCTCAATTATTTCTCTCGACCAGACCCCATTATAAACTCTCTCTGGACCGGCGTGGAGGTGTGGGAATAAAGACACAACTCACATGGCTTTATTGGGAGGGAGATTCTCAGTGGTCCCTCATGAAGTCCTGAGTTCACATCCTGAGGAATTCCTCTCATTTATTCTCCAAACAGCTTTTATACCAAAACATAAACTGAGTGGGAAATACACCAGTATTCTGTCTCCTAGGTAACCAGGTGAATGGCATTTTGTCACTTCTGCCTCTACCTGTCTGCTGTCACTAGGCTTGAATCAGCATCTCTATAAGGCATCCTCTAAATTACAAAGAAAGGAGCAACAACATCCTGACCTTTTGTTAGGGCAGTGACAGCCTGTCTGCAGGGCTGTGTGACCACCTCAGGTGGGGCCCTATGGCTTCAGAGCCTGGCTGCCACACCATATAGAAGTATGGGCCTACAGTACCTGAGCCATCAAAGTATATTCAACAAATAATGTTAACAACTGTGACCATATAATGGATTTTTATAACTTAAGAGTTCAATTCAGTGACATGCAAACATTTCTAAGCTTCTTCAGGCAAGTCCTTTCTCTTAAAAGTATACAAAAATCTTATTTCTTCCTGAGTCATCTCATCTCTTTTTTTTTCATCTCATCTCTTGCACTTAACAATTTTACATAGGAAAATTAATTTTTCATGAACCCTCCAAAATAATAAAGTGAGACACAAAAGTTAGCCAAAGTACTTTTTTCTGGTTGGGATGTCAAAAACATTGGGTATATTCTCTTCTCATAGATGCCTGTTGGCCAATAAGTCTCCCATTTGTTGGTTCAAAATCAGTATCATTTTGTCATAGAACTTTACTTGATGACATCATCTTCTTGAACTCATTGAATCTTAAATATTTTCTAGAATAATCAAGTGAAAAATTTGTCTTAGGAAAAAAGCCCAAATGGCAGAGATAGGAAGAGGATATATATATATATATATATATATATATATATATATATATATAAATTGATTAAGCTCTTGCTCCTCCTTAGGTGACTTTAGTTAAAAAATACAATGACAACCAGAGGACAAGGGCCATTCTTGACCTTTTGGGACACAAAGGAAACCCTTTTCTTCAAGGAGCTTACATTCCAAAGAATATTAGGAATCACTTGAGGGAGAAATCTAAATCGTTCTAAAAAATCATTCTAAAAGTGATCCCTCGGCACCACCTCAGACTTACTGAGATAGGGATTTCAGAAATGGAACTACAGAATCTAAATTTTAAATATAAATATAAAGCATCTCAGGTAGTTCTATAGATAATAATGCTTGAGAACCACAGCACTGGTGATCTGAGAGACATGCACAGAATGTATCAGAAAAAAATCAGTTGAGGGATTATCTTTTAGAGACATAGAAAAGGAAAGAGGAAAATTGAGATCACCTACCTAAAGCCCATGCTGGATGAGAGCTGGGATCTTCTTCAAGTCATGAATCCCTATTCTCAAGAAGTAGAAGACTTTGCAGATATTACTTCCATGAAGTATGCAAGATATTCCAAGTACCTTTAGGGTTAAAAATATGACATAAAATGTCTGTGTAGTGTAGTATGATAAACATTTGACTAAGGGGTGAGAACTCTTTTCTGATTAAAAAAAATCATCAGAAAAATATAATTCTGAGAATCATATGAAATAAAATCAAAGAGATTCTGTCTGTGGTCTAGGAATCCTAGCTTTTAATATTAGAACTATAATTTCCTCATTCCCACAGGAATTAATTGTGGACCAATTTAATATAGCTGGAATTTTTATTACTTCTACTTCACAGAAAACTGAGATATTCTCATCCTTTCTTCCTTTGGGGGAATCAACATATGCCTGGGTTTGAGATTTCGGCTTTCCGATCTGAGCATGATTTACATGTGGATACAGCATGCTGCTTTCAACAGTTCAGAAAACTGCAAAGATTCGTGGACTTGTTAATGAGTTTGCTGACCATGAACAATTTACTCAAGCCACCGTGGGGGCTCAGCTTGTTCATCTGTAAAATGGGTAGCCAGTTGTATCTTATTAAACCAAAACGCCCAAGACCTTGTAAGAACTCTCTGAAATAAAAGGGCTTATTGAGGGGCTGGAGAGATGGCTCAGTGGTTAAGAGCATTGCCTGCTCTTTCAAAGGTCCTGAGTTCAATTCCCAGAAACCACATGGTGGCTCACAACCATCTGTAATGAGGCCTGGTGCCCTCTTCTGGCCTGCAGGGGTACGTGTAGGCAGAACACTGTATACATAATAAATAAATAAATAAATATTTAAAAAAAATAAATAAATAAAAGGGCTTATTGAGCCATTACTGACGCTAGCAGAAAAATAGATGAGTAGGTGCTGGGACAGATTCTACAACCACCACCATCCGGGCTATAACGTTAATCCCCCAGCTCCAAAACGTCAGAGTACTTTACAAAGCAAACATTGCTACATACATATTATTTACATTGGGTCTACATTGGGTACTGGTAACAAGGGTGGGATTACCTGAAACAGCAAAGGTTTTGCCATGGGAGAACAACTAGGAAAGAAGCCAGGGCCTCTTGATTGGCTGGGGCTGCAAGAAGGATACATTGGCACCTAGGCAGTCAGGGCAGGCTTCAGTGAAGGTTTTAAAGTACATTCAAGAACATAAAAACAGTCTTTTGTGCTCTGGGGTCCATTGCTTGCTACTGATTTAATCTCCCCAACCATCTCTCTTTTCTTTCATCCCGTGGCCCTTTGTAATTAAATGTAGGACATCTCGGAATGTTTCTCTTATCAATCTGTCTTCCTGGCCTAGGCTCTTGCCGCTCATCCATGACGCTTCCCACACTAGTCCTAACTGAGGTTTATGTGGGAGGATCACATGGGATCATTTTCGTGAAAGTGCTCCGTAAGCTGTAAAGCACTATACAGATGAAGTGGATTATTATTAGTCTTTTATGAAACTCAGCCATAAAGACGCAAAGTGACCCAGAAAAAAGAAAACAGGGTAGGCCAATCTGAAATACATCTACAGTGTTGGAACACAGCCTTCATACACAGTCGGTGGGTTCTTAATAAGTACTGAGGGAGCGAAGAAAAACTCCAAGCACAGGCTCATGCCTCTGCCACATAAGGACCGAAAGCAAGTAGAGAGACACACACTTAGAGTCAGGGATAGGGCTTCACACACAACCAGAATGCCCCAAAGAGCATACGGTTTTCACGTGTAAGTTACCTGGCATGAAAGAACACTAAATACATTTAATAGAGTAAAGCCATGCTCCACCCTCACCCCAAGCACACAATGAGACAGTTATGTCTTTACCTTCCATCCTTCAAATGCAGTCTTGTAGAAATAGCAGACCCTTAGTAAGACTGAAACTTGCCCTGCATCTGGTTCATGGTAGATCTTCACAACTACTCCAGCAACCTCTGAGGAAGCAAGGTCTGTTTGGGATCTGCAAAGACGATTTTAGTGAGACTCGATTTTAAGTCAAATCAGATTCATCCTTTAATACTAACCCCACCCAGCAGAAACAGGAAAGGAGATGGGGGATTACTTATCTGCTGTATAAAACAACTCTCTATAGAATATTTTGTCACTTTCCTCTGATAGAAAGGATATGACTCAAATTTAAATATTCCAATTGTATTGAGTATAACTTTTGACAGCCATTTGTAGAATGAGGCAACCCCACAGTGGGAGACACCAAACTTAAAAAATGCAGTAGAAAAATATTTTTTTCTGGGTGGGCCTTAATTGCCTTTTCTTCCCCCATTGCAAATGTATTTTTATTCTGGGTGACATTTTCAAAACAGGAGTTTTTTTTCCCCATTGTTGAAATGAAGCAAACAAGTTTACTTTCAGAGTCTCAGAAATGCCCAGCATGGGGGACAGGGTGGGGACATGTTTTCCACTGGCCATTTGCCTGTTTTTTCCTTGGGCAGCCTTGCCTGTTGGCTCCTCTAGGAAGGCCCCTGGGGCTGCCTGGTGGAACTGATTGTAAAACAATCTTGTGCAGTAAGAATGAATGTCTCCAGTCTCTCCAAGACCACCCAGAACATGACCAATCTTTGGCAACTGTCTACGGGTTTCCCCAGTGTTGGGTTAGCTCTGGTTTCTGAGTCTTTGAGACAACATGGCCATGGGTATATTTCTTCTTGTAGTTTGTTACTTTAAGACAAAAGAGGAAGACACCTCTCCTCTCATCAAAAACCTATGAAGAATTCACTTCATCAGTTTATGTTCTTTCTGGGAATACAAGAATACAAGAACCAAGCAAAACCGGCCATGCTAGAGAGAAAAATTTAAGGAAACAAACATTTGCTAGAGGCTTTCATGAACGACTGTCCCTGGGCCTTTGGCATCAAGCCATCCTAGGATGGTAACCATCTCTAGCATCCACAGCGAGGGTGGGAATCTCAGAGTAAGGCTCACGTTGGCCCAGGAAGGCAAAAACTCCTGCGGAGCAGGCCGTGCTTCTTCTCAGCCTGCTGCGTTCCTCTCCACGAGCCCCGCCTCTGTACACTAGATGCTCAATAAATGCGGGCCCGAGTCCGTCCCTGGCGCCCAGCCTTGTATTCTGGCCTGCGCAGGTTTATTCTGACTCGCTACCTCCTCACGTCTGCTGAGGTACTAGAGCTCGGCTAGGGGCTATGTCTCCGGCCGTAGGAGAATAATTAGAAAGGCGAGCTGCCGGAGACACCAAGCCAGAGCCCGGGAAACCGGGAAGCAGGAGGCACGGGCGGCGGGCTAGGGGCCACCTGACCGCCGCGCTCCGCTTGACAGAAGGCGGGCCCGGCGGCGCTCGAGACCGGCCGGGGTGGGGCGGGGTGGGGCGCGAGCGCGCGCCCGGCCCCAGGCCCCGCCCTCCCCAGCCCCGCACGCACCCCGAGGCGCGGGGGGGAAAGGGGGGAAGGGGACCCGAGAGCCGGCCGCGCCTCGCGCGCGCGCCCGCTAGGTGACGCGGCCCGCGGGCATGCGCCCCGCCCCCGCCCGCGCCGTCCCCCGGGCCCGGCGCGCGGCCCTGCTGACGTCAGCGGCGGCTGGCTGAGCGCTGCGCAGGACCTGGCGCACTCGCGCGCGGCGCTCGCCTCGCCCCCTCCCCGCCCGTCCGCCCGCCCCGGCGCGCGCGCGCGTGCCCTGCCCTCCCTGCCCGCCTCTTCTCGCGCTCCCCGCTGGCCGCGGCCCCCTCGCGCTCTCCCCGTCTCCTGGCCGCTCTCCGCCAAGCGATGCGAGCTCTGGGCCCCGGCGACGCCGCCTCCCGCTAGAGATCTGCCCCCACCCCGGCCCGACCCTCTTCCCAGCCTTGCCCCGCGCGCGGGGGTCGGAGAAGGCGCCGCGGACGCACCGACGGCCGAGGAGCGGCGGTGCACATGCACTAGCGGCACCCCCTAACTCACTCCCTCCACACCCCGCGCCGCCGCCGCCTCCACCTTCCCCGCCTCCGCCTCCTCCTCCTCCGCCTCCGGCAGCCGCGGCAGAAGGACCCACCCTGCCCCCCACCCCACCCTCCGCCGGCTCCTGCTGCGGATCCAGCCTCGACTCCTATTTTATTTATTTTGGGTCGTGCACTAGCCTCAGTGCCTGCAGCCCGCGCCTCCCGGGCCCGCGGGCGCCTCCTTCCTCGGCTCCGGAGCCCCAGAACCCGACCACCCTCACCTCGACACCCCCAGACCCCGACCAGCTGCCGCTTGTCTTCTCTGGAATCTTGATAGAGGCTGTCTTTTTTGGGGGGTTTTGGTCTTTCGACAATTTTGTTCCCAGCCAAGGAGAGGATATCGTGATTTTCTCCCCTTTGAGCCCAGGCTCTGCTCTTTGGGGGGGTGGGGGGCTCGCCGACCCGGGGAGTCGTGCCAGCCGAGTCGTGCGGGCTGTGGCAGGGAAGGGGCCACCATGGGATGTACTCTGAGCGCGGAGGAGAGAGCCGCCCTCGAGCGGAGCAAGGCGATTGAGAAAAACCTCAAAGAAGATGGCATCAGCGCCGCCAAAGACGTGAAATTACTCCTGCTGGGTAAGGACCTCGGTAGCCACCCCCGCTCCTCGACCCCGGCCGCTGTTTCCCCACCAGACTTGCGCCACGGGAGACCTGGTCCCGGAGTTGGCACCACTGTGTGCCCAGGAGCGCCCACCCCTCGCATGCTTTGAAGCCCCTTCCCATTCCTCTGAGCTGACACTCACCAGTTTTTCCCCCTCTCTGTGTCCCAACAGGGGCTGGAGAATCAGGAAAAAGCACCATTGTGAAGCAAATGAAGTAAGTCCCTCTGGCATTGGGATTTGTACTTTTATTAAGAATAATTTTCATACCGTTTTTATTGTCGTGCTCACCCACATTGCTCTCCAGGCCTGGATTTTAATTCGTGCACACAGAGACCTGGTTTTGCCTCCCCTCCCCCACTCCCTACGTTGGTTCTGGGTCCCCCACCCCAACTCCTGGAGTGGGTGTTTTGGGGGAGGGAAAGGGAGCGCCTGTAGTTGTATGAATGACAGTGTCCGCCATATTGATCAGAACATCACACTATTGGCGTGATTATGATCATAACTCTTGCTCGTGGAGTAGTTCGTGTGTTTCGCTGCCTCCATTTCTGTCTCGGCCTCCTTCCATTACTCCTCCCTCCACCCAACCCCTCGAATCCCACTTATCTTGGGGCAGTGATTTTGAACTTGACTAAAACATGGAGGGGACCCAGCCCTAGCAGATTGGGGTGGAAGAGCAAGTGTTTGCTGTTCATGAGTTTGGTGCTGAATTCCTGGAGGCTGTGACTTCGGCCCCCTCCCCCCAAATGAGAGCAAGGGTTAGGGGAGGGGGCGTGCACTAGGGGGAAAGGGTGGGTTTCCAAGCGGATGTGACAGACACAGCTTTATCCAAAGGCAGAGGTGGATGGGGGACGCTGTCTGTGGGGCTGAATGAAAGCAAGCCTTACCTGCCCTCCAACCCCTCTGCGCCCTGGCCTTCCAGCCTTTGCTCTCCTGACACCAGCAGTTTCCTGTCACCGTGTAGCCTTTGTCGTTTGTCCTTTTATTTATTTACACTCTGCTTAGGCCGGGCTCCCTGTAGTCTATCTTTAATGCGGATTTCAGGCCCCACTTGCCAACGCCCCCTTCTGCCTTAGATATCAGTTTCCCCTCCTAATTGACTGGAGGTGGATTTGAGTGATGGTTGAAAATTAAAACAAAATGGGATATTCCTTCCTTTCCACATTTCCCCAGTAAGGAGCCTCACCCCTCCTTCCCTCTCACTGGCTTGCTTCTTGCCCCATCCGCTTCACAGCTCCTAGTAAGCCTACACGCAGCTTTGCCAGAGGAGGGGTGGCCGGCAGGGAACAGGCGCATGCCTTCCGGACCTCCTGGCCCTGCTTCCGTTGGCCTGTCAGTCCAGGACGGAGGAGTTCGTTAGGACCGTTTAGTGAGGATTCCATGTCGCTTTGCTGTGACACCTTCGTGCACACACAGCTCCTAATTAGAGGTTGCTGTGCAGTAAACAAAAATGATTATTTTTCAACTTGACAGAATAGTCGAAGTAATTGCATCCCGTAGGAAAACAATGGAAAATAAAAACCCCTTTTGAGGGAAGGTGGGTGGGAGACAAATTGTGCTTGCGGTTTCAAAACCAAGAAGCAAAAATTCTTGCATGTGTAACAGGCATGACAAGCGAGTTCCAGGCGGCGCCATGATGGTAGGGAGTAGCGACTAGGAGACAGTTTTCCCCATCTGCTTGGCATGTTCTTATTTGCGTTCGAGAGCTCCCAGGGGCTTTCTTCTCACAGGCCCCTTCGGCTAGCCTCACCCTTCTGAGCCACCAGTAATTTGGCCTGGGGTTTCTCTGGGGCTTGTGCAGTCCAAATGGATGGGGAGGCGGGGCCTGGGGAATTGCTTTTTGCAACAAGGTGCATGTTGCATCTGCCTGGAGCACACGCGGGTCGGGGAAATGGCAAACCGCGCCACCTCTTTCTCCTTAGGGGGGCAGGTCTCAAAACTTCACGAATCTGTAATCCGCTGAGGCAGACTGAGAGTCTGATAGAAGCCTCGGCCTCCAGAGCTGGGGTGAGGTTTCAGGCGTTGCAAGTGGTGGACAGCGCCCAGCCGAGGCTGGAAATGTCGATGGGGTTGAGCTCGGCGGCGCTCGGCTCCGCTCGGCCTGGTCTGGGCGCGGGGCTCGGAGAATCTCGACAGTGTTCGGAACCCAGTCGGGGTCCAGACGGAGAGGGCCGAGTGGCTTCGGCTTCGGAGGGGCCCCCGAAGACATTCGGAAACCCTCGGAGAGGGGAGGGCAAACGAGGTGGTGGTGGGGAGGTGGGAAGGATGGCAAAGTAACTTTGCATCCACCTAAGCAGCTTGCTACCTGCTTTTCTTGAACATGCCCCATAAATTAGGTTGATTTAATAAGAAGTTTAAAAATATGTGCTGAGTCCCCTAACGGGTAACTTGCCTTTTTTATTCAAA